CCCCCATAACACTGTTGATTATTCCGTTTTATATGAATTCCATGTTGTACGAGTCACTTAGATTTTACAAATACGTGTGCCGGGCTGTGAACGGTTCACGTACTGTATTTGTAAAATCTAAGTGACTCGTACAACATGGAATTCATATAAAACGGAATAATCAACAGTGTTATAGGGGGGACGACTGTATAAAATTTTTCATTAAGTTCCATCCATTCGAGATATGCTACAGGACTTCCTTCTATCTCCCCACCCTCTCGACCTTTAACCGCCGAAAAATTTAATCGTATCAATGTTCCTTATACATAAAATATGTCAAATTTTGTTTCCCTCTTCATTACCTTATCCTGAGATAGTAAACGAAATAGACGCCAACACAAACACACATATATAACCATGAAATTTTCCTCTTTTTTTGACTTTTTAGGATTCAAGAGATCGTGGAAATTTGCAAACAACTGTGAGGGTCAAATTTAACACAATTCCAATAATTTCCCTTGTTATATATAGACTACATAACAGCCGGAAAGAAATATATTTAATTTTTTTGTCAGTTGCTTTGATTTATTTTTATAAAAAATTATAGCTCGTTATATATAATGTTCGATGTATGTTAAATAAATTGTATTATATATATATATTGTATAGTAATATTTATTCCTGTCTATTCCATTTGAGTATGTATCGAGGTATTGATCAAGTAGACTGATTTGAATAAGAATATTTTTTTTACTATTTTCTGATAAAGTCACTAGAAATGCTTTTTTCATTTCCCTCATAATTTCGACTCAGGCTCACGAATCCGACTCAGATCGATCTTGGATTTTCCAAAGAGATGGGTTGAGTGTTTTACTGCTTTGACCATCTGACCATTCAAAAGTCTTTATGCATAGGCAACGGGATCACTTAAATAGAATATGATCTACGTCAATGTCATTTTATTGAATGCATCCAGAAATGCATTTCTCCCATTGAAGATGCAAGTTAATGTGTCTGATAGTATGTATGTACTTTACGTATTTATTTTGTATAAAAATTTTGGAATTAAGTTGTATAATAAAAGAAAAAGACACTTACCATACTTTTAGACAATGTCATGATTTCTTCATATGAAGGGGGTTTGTCTAATATCTCAAGAGTTGTTTCTATTGTGGGATTACTGTAATCGAAACCAGTAATTTCAGGATAAACAGATATTCCTCTTGTATTGAATTCATTATTTTCAGATGGGCGATAAACTATGTTATTTTGAGCTCTTCCCGATATCATATTGGATAATTTTCTATATTGTAGTAAAGAAAACAATAGAACCATATTATTTATTTATACACTACATTATTTAACGAGCAACATTTTAGTTTTCTTACTTTTTAAAGAAAATAATAGCAACGGTTATCGCAGCACTAAGAATTACGGAAAAAATAACACAAAGAATAATTAGTAAGGTATTGCTTTTCGGATTGTCGTCTCCTAAAGATATAGTAAATTAAAACAGTCAAAATAAAAAAAATCTATATTAGAATTTATTTTTATATAGCTATTCAAATATTGTAAGCATTATATTATTATTCAATTCACAGTAAATTATAACAGATTAATTTTGAAGATAATAATTTAAATTTAAGGAGCGAAAACACAATTGAAATGAAATATTTAAAATAAATTACTTTTTAAAACTCAATTTAAAACTTAAATCACATGTTTTTTGTTGTCCTCCGAGAGGCATTCCTTTGGTAAATACTCTTGTTTTGTGTTGCTTTAGCCGGTCAAACTAAATAAAATCAAATTTCTCTAATTCCGAGACAGTAGATTACTCTAATCATGTATAATATATATACTATATTACTGTACATAACATGTCATGTGTAATTATATACAAAATGTAACGAATGGCTTTAATATATTTATTACTAATGTTATAACTTAAGTTGAAAACCTATAATTCGTCTGCGCGTAGATAACATTACATTACATTAAATTATATATGAATTAAATATGGCGATTTCGGCTTATTGTAAAGTGATTAAAGGGAAAATGACATATCACAATGATTACATTAAACAAATTCGGAGTCGTTACGTTTAGATTGATTGCAATCCTCAAAGAAAAATTGAAGTTGTTTTCTAATATACTGTATTTCAAAAATTACAATATGTGTGATATTTGTGACGTTGATCAAATCTGTTGATCATTCTGANTAGTATTTTATTTACGCCTAAATATCGACTGTATCACATTATTTAGTAATCAGCATAATTCTTTTCTTACACGAAATATGAACATCTTTTCAAAGTTACAGATTACTTCCAAATTACAGGATTAACTACGTTGAAATCTTTAACTTTCCAACGTATATTATTATACATGAATCATTCATTAATTTCCCATAGATAACGTGTGTAATAAAATTGTTGATTTTATTTTATTTTATTTACTTGTATTATCAATATGATAGTGTAAATACAAAGGTTACTTTCAATAGTTACTGTAAGACAGTGCAATACAACTGTTATTTTGGTAACAATCAATATTTTAATTACTGTAAATCATTACTAGAATTCAATAATTCAATAATGAGTTGTAATAGTTACTTTTAGTATTACGAACAATTTTCGATTTGAATGCTTGTCTAATAATTACCTTTTAAGTTTGTTATTTTACCGTGTGTTGTATACAGATCTGTGGAGAGCGATCAGGGAGACCAGAGCTACTGAATAACTAGCAGGTCTTTTTTCTTTTCTGACGTAACGCTCCCGATTTATCACAGTTTTTTCTACCTTTAAGCACTTGAAATTACACAAATATTTTTTATAGAATTTTTAAATTAAAATTTTATTAAACAAACTCAAATCTGTGTCCCTGCAGAAGTTAGGGTTTCAAGTTTATAATCCCAACTTCCTCTCCCTTTAGTCGGCTCTGGTAATATAGTATATAGAATTATTTATACATATTTATATTATATATATATAATTTATTTATTTATATACAGATAGATACTATTATTTTAAAGTATTTACTATTTATTAAGATTTTAAAATATTTTTCTTTAGGATCTATCAATTTCGATTCAAAAACATTTCGGCAACTGGATGACGGTATTATCGCTTTACTTGCCTTATTTGTTGTAATTGTTTTTGTGATTATTATCGTATCAATCATTTCTTGCTTAAGGTAAACAATATTGAATACTTTAAAAATGAAATTAAAATTCAAAATTTGTTTATTCTAGTTTCTTTATTTACAGAAGACGTTTCAGAACTCAAACTAATGAAGCTAATACAATTCAACCTCCATCCACAATATTTTCAGTTCAACTACCTCCAGGATACAGCTCGGTTACAAATGAAAGAACTCTTCAGTCGCAAGCTATTGGATCAACTGTACAAGATACAGAAAAACCTCCTTCTTACGAAGAAGCTGTCAGATCATAGAAGTAGTCATATTGTGACGAAATGTAAAAATATTTTCTTTTATAAATAAATCCATTAATAGAAACGCACCAGTCGTTTTAAAAATTAATATTTTTTTATTTTTTTAAATTAATTAAAAGAGAAATTCCAACACTTGTCAGATAGATCTGTAAGGTGTTTAAGGCATAAAGTTCTTCTGAAAATGTTATATAGTTATACAGTATTAATAGACAAAATTAGGAAAAGGAATATAATAAAATAATGAAATACTTATAGAAATGGCAATAAATGATGAATGACAATGTTTTCTATTATAACTTTTTAAACTTTAAATTTAAAACAAATTAATACTGTATTTCCATATTTTGGTACAGTAATTGATAGAATAAGCTTTAACAACCGAACAGTTATATGCTCGATAATTTATCTTCGAAATTTTGATTTGTAAATGCAAAGAATGCAACTGCCCACCAGTCGCCAGTGGATACCTGAACACTGGTCGTGGGTTCGCGCCTCACCAACGGGTTGGCCATGTGGAGTTTTCCGAGTTATCGTAATCGAATAAAACCAAAAATCTAACTCTATATATTAAGATCGAACTTTCAAATCGATATCGCGATTTTGCAATTTTTAAAGAATCTTTTCAGAACAAAAAGTTTTCCCGCCATTTTTCTTTATTAACTTATTGCTATTATTATTAAATAATTTAATGTTTTGTTCTTTTAAGATGCAAGTAAATAAGTATAAACATCAAATTATTGCATATTAATTCACTTTTTTTATAGTATGCACATTTTCATATTTACCGAAATGGCATATAAACGAAACAAAAAGTAAAATTTCGTTGCACATATCGTCATGTATCTTTGTCAGAGAATAGAAAACACTAAATACCAGTAGAATGAAAATAAACAATTGCAGCATTTGAAAAATGCTGCAATTGTTTATTTTCATTCTACTGGATTTTCATTCTACATTCAATTATAGGATATTTCATTCTACTGGTTTTAATTCTACATTCAATTATAGGAAACAATTGCAGCATTTGAAAAATGCTGCAATTGTTTCCTATAATTGTTTCTATAATTGTTTGATATGACGTTCCTATAATTGCAGCATTTTTCAAATGTTCCAATTATAGGAACTTCGTATCAAACGTCGGGTTTCGAACGCCTCGATTTTTGAACAATTCGGTTTACGAACAAAATTTTCAACGCCGTATTTGCCCCGGTTTCCGTACGATAACTCGGTTGCTGAACAAGCAACACGGCAAAAGCAGGCCACAGATTAGAGAGGCAAAAACGGTCAACTTCTGTGTTTAGGAAAGTCGATGGCCCAATAATATTATATATAATATTATACTGCATTTGTAGACATTTTTATGCATGAAATATAGCTAAAAAGGTAGAAAAAAAGGCTTTGTTTTGGAGACAGGAACAGATTAATCCATTTTATATTGTTTCTTATAGAAAAATTTGTTTTGGGTCTGGGAATAAATCGGTTTTCAAACAACTTTTAGGAAGGAATTAAACTCGAAACCCAAAGTTTGACTGTAAAGGCTTAAAAAATTGGGTTTTGCATTTGTAGACACTATATATTATGAACAATCAAATCTGTATCAACAAATACTTATTATATATCAAATTAAACAGAAAAAAACGATCTTTAATATAGACTAGTTATAAAAACCATAAACGTATTCGTTTTCAAACGCGCAAGACTTTAAAAAAAGTCACTAAAATCAGTCCACAGAATCATGACACCTAACGGTTAAGACCTGAAAGTGTATTAAAATTCATAATGGCATATTTAAAGACTTTCGAAATAAAATTTTGTCGTTTCGCAACATGTACGTTTTCATATGTAATTTGAAATTTGTCTTGTATTATTCAAATTATACACACTTTTTGTATTCGTAATTTAAGAACTTAATTTAAAAGAATTTGAAAGATACTAAATTTACTTGCTTAACGACTGTAAATTTTAGCGAATTTGTGGGTTTTATTGAAGAATGTAAAAATAGGAAACATGGCGTTCTCACTATTATATAAAACTAGTAATTATATTCAATATTTTGATAGACATTTCTTACATTGGTTGTAAAATAAGAATTGCAAGTAATGTAAGATTAAAATGATATAGATTGAAAGAAAACAGTTTATTGAAATACAGATAAATAATAGTCAAAGAATTGAGTTTACTATCCTATAGATAAAACTTCTTCAAGAATTTGTAGATAACTTTCATTTTTAAAAGTATAAAGATTCAATATATACAAGAGATACTAAAGGATTTCCATGTCAATACGTAAACAGCTGTTCAGCCATTTAAATTAAAAAAATTGAAATTTATTCAGAAAACGGAGAAAAATAATCTTTATTTATCATGTAAAATTTTCAGACTTCTGTTTTGTATGTTACTGTAGAAGTTTGTAAATCTGACACCCTCTGAAAAGTAGTTGAATCTAGTTCAAATTCAAATTCGTTTGAATTTGAATCTAGCACACCACGTTTCAAAATCAAATTCCAGTTCGAATATTAGGGAATTTCGAACTGGAATTTGTAATATATTCGAACTGGAATTTGTTTGAAACGTGGTGTGCTAGATTCCACGCAATAATATAATCATTAACACTTTTTCCAGGTTATCAATCAATCTTAACACAGTATTCATGCACTTTATTACCATCTTATCATGATTAAAGCGTATGTAAAAACAAATTGGAAGCATATAGCGGTGTGTATTGGTACAAAATGTGCAGCAATGTCTGCAATGTTCAGATCACATATAACTTATCGAATTTTGTGACAATATAGAAACATTCCGTAATGCAACTATAGTTTTGTAGGTACCAGATTAATGAATTTCTGTTGTCTGATTTTATTTTCAAAAATGCAAATTACTTTTCTAGATATTCTTAGGAATTAAAAATTTACTATAAATACAGTAGAGCGTCGATTTTCCGAATCAATTGGTGACTGGGGTTGTCCGGATAACTGATATTTCGGATAACTGATTTACGTACGAAAAAATAGTTTAACGTATCCGATGTCGAAATTTTTCTCCGTTGCGTGTCGCTTTGCGTTGAATTTTCGTCGATGTTAAGCCTAACAAAGACTATTGTATCGTTAAAAATTATTTTTTCATTTTGTACAAACAAAATAAATATATTGAAATATATAAAAACAATAAAAAATTATACTTCAGATGTTAATTTAGTATCAAAAACGTAAAATATTTGAGTAGCCCAAGACATAGCCTAAGATTGAAGCACCACAGCTCTGGCGAAAATTTAAATTTGCCGACTGGAATTCTTTCGGATGATTGACTTTCGGATATTCGACGCTCTACTGTATTAATTTACTGAGGCGCGCCATTTGTCGAGTGGTTTAAGGTTAATGGCATACGGCAACTTAACACATTGGCTATCCACCAAAGAGTAATGCCTTCCGGCAAACTCTCTAAGGGAAACTGGCCTCAGTTTATATCTTAGACACGTAAATAAAACCCGGGAAACATCTGGTTAGCTCATTGATGGGAGCGCGATATTCTCGTATATAACAGTAAATAGAGTCCAGTTTCCCATAGAAAGTTCTCTTTCGTGTTGCATTGCCTTACCCCATAAAACCAGACCCCTCTTCAGTTAACGAAGCTACTGATAAATCGTTACAACCAAAAGGTTTAAGTA